GGCCAATCCAGGACCACTCGCCGGTTGCCTTCCTGCTATGCTGGCCTCCACTTGTCGCACTTTACATGCATGAAAATTAAGTGCTTGTCACATTTGCGGTTGACAACGTTTAATTTTCAGTTTATTTTTATGCTTTCCCAAATAACATGCCAAGCAATACCCCTGCATGCCCGAGGGTGGGCGCGCGCCTGTGTGCGTGTGCGTGTGTGTGTTGGGGGAGGCGTGGCTGGTCGCACATGCAAATGCGGCTGACACAACAAGAAACAAGTAAACAGCAAAGCAGAAACACGAAAAAAAAAACGCAACAGAGGCAACACAAATTTAAAATAATTAAATCATTTACCAAAAACAGCAACAGAGGCGACAGCAGCAGCAGCAACAACAGCAACAACAACGGACGACAGCAGCAGCAACAGTAGAAATAGAAATGAAAACGGAATATAAAATGTGTAATAAAGTGTAATAAAAGAAGAAGAAGAAGCAGAATGAAAGAAACAACAACTGTAAGCGGAAGTAGCAGCGACGCATTCAGCTGTGACGTCGACTGAGCTTTGGCTTATATCAGAAACAGCAGCAGCAGCAGTGATAGCAGCAGCAGCAGCAGCGAGAATAGCAGCAACAGCAGCGGCAGCAACGGAAGAAGGTCTGCTTCGCTCAACCACCGCCCCCTGCGCGGCACGCCCCTCCCACCACCAGTCGCCCTCGTTGACGGCGACGACGAAGACGTGGAGGCATCATAAAGAAAGACAAACGACGACTGTCGGCCATGGAGTGTAATGTAAATTACGAGCAAAGCCAAATGAAAACAATAAAAAAAAAAGTCGCATTGTAATAGCCGCTGCTGCTGCTGCTGCTGCTGCTGTTGTTGTTGCTGCTGCTGTTGTTGTTGCTGCTGTTGCACTATAGGCATCAAACGAGGCAGTCAACCGCTGCACCTGTGGGCCAATTGTGGCAGCCAGTGCTCAGCTAGCTGCGTCGATCGTTGGCGATTAGGCGGCCGCTGCCCCAAACTGTTTACTGCTTCCGCTTGCTGCCGGCAGCAGCAGCAACAACAACAGCAGCAACAACAGCAACACCAACAACAACAACAACAATGACCACAAAAGCGTAACATGCGCTGCCGCAATCAAATCAGCCAACCCCTTCCCGCCTCCTTCCGCTTACCCCGCGGCCAATTACCATTCCTGCTGCGACTGCTGCCTGCCTGCTCCCTCTCTCTCTCTCTCTCGCACACTCGCTCTGTCTCTCTCGCTCGGCTCCTCGCGACGTTCGTCGACACTTTGACGCTTCGCTGGGCTTAAGCGGGCGACGCCGATGACTCAGTGCGGCGGCACAAGCCGCCCCGAGTCACCCTGTGACGGCATTTCATGCTCAAATAACTGACTGCCCAGTGGATAGAAGCAGAGCGGCAGCAGAGGCAGAGCAGCAGCAACTCTTGCAACGCTACGCTGCACATGGCTAGCGCAGCTTGGGGACAGCTGGAGCCCGCTTATGGGGGATTCTAAGCAGCGGCCACTTGCGTTTTGGCATTTCAATCTAGCCAACTCACCCACCCACACACACACACACACACACACAAACCGATTGCGGTTCAGGTGGCACGGAAAGGTCAAGTGCGTTATCCAATTTGGATTTGAACTTTATATAAACAGTTAGGGTAACTGTTTGTGGCTAAAATATTAACAGCTGCGATTCATTTAGATATTTAGTTGTCCGCAATTATACAGAAAACAACAAACAAATATATTCATAGCATCTATTATAATACTTAATAATACATCCATTGTTATTATTGTACCATACGATATCATCAATAGTAAAAGATTTTATCGATTCATCAGTGCATTACCATGGAAAATGCTAATCATGAAGCTAATAGCTTTTACAGCTACAGAGAGCGAGGAGGCTGATGTAAATGGAGATATCCGTGAAATAGGTATATAGAGCCAGAGTTGTTTCGTTTACTATGCCTTTTGATATCCCTTTTAGAGACCAAGCTAAACTCTTAGCAATCTTCCAAATGAAATCGAGATTGATGATGTAATGATGATGTAGATAACTATGGAATAGAGAGAGAGAGAGAAAGTACATAGATGTACCATATATATATATATATTA